GGATGCATGCAGTGGAAAATACAGTAGGAAGATGTATATACACAGAGAACATGAAAAAATGTACCACCAAGTTGCTGCAAAATGCTTCAGAGTTAGGGAAAACAGCCTGCTTTCTGCTCAGCTCAGCCTGTCCCAACCCACCGAATGCACATAGGGCAGCTGCTTTGCAAAAGGCTAACTACTTGCCCTCATGAAGTCTGAGTCCAGCAACAGGGAACCTATTGAGCATACCCAAAACTACCACACCCAGTTCCAGAAACTTCTGAGTGTGGAAAGCTAATTGTGCATCTGTCTAGCAGCAGTGACCCAGACACAACTCCTTCCTACCCACCCACAATAGATCTCTTGAAAAGATATCTCCCTATTTGGCATGTGCGTTACACTTTATGAGATCTCTCAATTAGCATAGGTTATATTATGCATTTCCCATAGAAATAATGGCTCCCACTACCAGAGCCAATAGCTAGCCAGTAGAGATGAGTCAGAAGTTCCAGATGGGAAAGCATCCAAAAGTTTAGAACCTGCTTGTCCTAACTTCTGGGATTTGGAACTGGAGCCAGGAGAAACACAGGAATAGCTTTCCTTGAAGTATTTTGGTCTTTCCTCCTCTGCACCAAAAGCAGAAAGTGCAGCTGGAAATAAAAACAAACCAAAGTAAAACAAATCTTACCTGAACTTTTACAAACCTCTAAAGAGGTTTGGGTTTGGTTTGAGACTTCGGCAAAAGTTTGGTTCGTATTTGATCTGAAAGGGATCTTGTTCCTTCAAAAAGCCTGGAAGGAGTTACGCAGGGGATGAATTAGCTTTTGAGTTTACCTCATCTGTATATCACAAGGTCTCGTAGTGTATTACACAGAAACTCTTTGTGCGGTGGGTCTTGGGTGGGGCATCACACTCAATACTTACTATGTAATCTTGTGATGTATCATGAGGCAACTTGGAAGGTAGCATGTGTATTTTGGGGAAATATCCTTGCTCTGATTCAGAATTTTATATTCATCCTCTTTGCATTTCTTTCTTTTCTCCTTCTTGAGTCAGATTCTCCCCTCTGAGGCACACCCGTTTGGCTCCTCATGAATTCAGAGAGAGCCATATACATCTGTGGGCAGAGTCAACATTAGCTGCTGAAGTTAAAATGCCTGGGGAAGGAATTGCCGCTGACAAGTGTTGTTACAAGATAATTTGCACCACTCATGAGAGGAGAGCAATAAAACCAAACAGATATTTTGCTTGAGGATAAAAATATAGATTATCTAAATGGATAGGGTGTATATTCAGTGAACATCCCTTGCTTCCACTTCCCCAATCTTCCATGACTCTCAGAGGGCTTGTGGTTTGGAAAAGAACATCCCAGCAAAGACTGAGTAGATACGATTCCCTCCGACTCCTTTCAGTGGTGATTTTACATTGCCCAGAGGAGTCACTATAGAGATAGAGGCCATTCTCTTTCCAGGGGCTGAGTATATTGCCTCTGCAATGCTTACAGTTCCTACTAACTAGGAAGCAAAACACACCAAACAGCAGACTAATCCACTTTCTTAGGGTAGCCCGAATTATCACTCTTATGCTCACCAGAAGCTCTAGAATGCAGGGCATTGCTAAATAAAAGGTATTGATAGGCACTAGAACCACTGATTAACATAGATAGATATTTGATGGTTAAACCTTGGTGTTTTTTCTCTGTTGTAGAGGTCCAGGCTGTCCTCCTCTCAGATATGCTGATATTCCTTCAGGAAAAGGACCAGAAGTATGTCTTTGCCTCATTGGTAAGGCTTTGGTGTTTTCTCTTCCTTTCTTTTACATAGATGATCCTTGGTATGAATTTAGCAATGAAAGCATGTCACTGCCTGCTACATTCCTTAGTTTTTATTGGACAGATCACTTTGCATGTAACAGTTTGTTTCCTTAGCAGACTCCATTATTTTCTATTGAAAACATGTCTTAATTTCTCCCCCTCCCACTCGGTGATTTCTACAGTGATTTTGAACATTTGGTAATTGGCTCTGAAAATAAGCCTGTCATTGGATACATTTATTCTTCATCAGCCTGTGCAAATCCTGCTCACTTAGGAGGGAAGAACGTGAACTGTGTACAAATGAATCCCAGCAGAAAAGACAGACCTAATAAATCAATCTAAAAAGCAAAAAGCACAGGAACAAAAGCCTACTGCTGCAATAAAGTTCGAGAAGCTCACAAGGCAGTATGCTATAGGAATATATTTGTCATGGACCAGTTCATGTAAACAAAAACAGGAGCTTTCCGAGAAAGTCCTAGATGAAAGAGACAGACGATGAGACATGCTGACCTGATGAAAAAAAGTGCCAGTGCCCCCAAACCAGTAAATAGCTACGGGTCTGGCCGGGATGCATCTTTCATGCATGCTTCAAAGAGGAGACTTTCTCTGGTCCTCTTGTTCTTCCCATTCACTGAGCCACATTTCCAAACCGCCTGCTGCCAGCGCAGGGCATTTCCTAGCTTTTCAGCTGGCTGTGGTGCACACAAGGGTCATGCTGGAAAACCTCTGCTAAAGCACACCCCCTCCCAAAAAAACCCAAACCCTGTGATTCTGTAAAGACCACAAATGAGCCCATTGGACTATGCATGCCACAGGTGGGAAGAGACAGGGCCGGCTCCAGGCACCAGCCCACCAAGCATGTGCTTGGCGCGGCGCGGCACTCCGGCCCGAGAGTGGGGCCGTGACTGGGCTCGCTGCCCTCCCCACGGCGGGCTCGCCGCCCTCCCCCCGGCGCTCTGGCTGCCGGGAGAGCGGAGCCCCGGCTGGGCTTGCCGCCCTCTCCACAGCGCTCTGGCCGCCGGGAGAGCGGAGCTCCGGCTGGGCTTGCCGCCCTCTCCACAGCGCTCTGGCCGCCGGGGAGAGCGGAGCCCCGGCTGGGCTCTCTCCCCTCCCCCTGGCGCTCCGGCCGGTCGGGGAGAGCGGGTCCGTGGCCGGGCTCGGCGCCCTCCCTTGCCGCGCTCCCCGCGGGGGGTGGGCGGCGGGAGGCTTTTTTGCCTGGGGCAGCAAAAAAGCCAGAGCCGGCCCTGGAAGAGAAGCTTTCAATGCGAACAGAGAGATTACACAGAGATATTACAGTGACCCTAACAGCTCATTGCACATAATCTTCCGTGGAATCCTTGATGCAACAGTCTCACAAAAACTTCTGTAGCGGGAGTCGGCTTTAAGCTACAGAGAACAGGAAGGATTTGGGTGAGATGTGAAGAGAGGATATGATGCAAGGGTTCCGAGGGGGAGAGCAAAGGCAGTGACAGTGAAACAGGGACCAGCAAGCCATACCGAGAGTGGTGATGTGAGATAAAGAGTCCAGGAATAGAGAGCACAGACAGCAGGATGTGAGATCAAAGCAAGTTCTTGGAGAGTCTGGAAAACCGCAAAGGCAATTTTTAATTGTATCCAGGGACAGATGACGGCAGTTCTTCCTGAATGGTCAGAGGAAGGTGACACCAGCGTTCTGGGCTCAGTGAAATAAATGACTCTCAGAATATACATGTTGGGTGAGGCTAGCACTTCTCTTGGCATGTAGTTGCTAAAGGTGCTCATGAGTAGGAAGGAGGTGTGATTGCAGGTATTAGGAGCTTTTGAGCACTTATTGTCAGCCTAAAGCTCTGGTGCTTTTTGTCTGTCTTCTCACCAATCTTCTCTCATCTGAAGGACCACAGATCCACTGTAATCTCTCTGAAGAAACTGATTGTACGAGAAGTGGCCCATGAGGAAAAGGGTTTATTCCTAATTACCACCGTAGTGAAAGATCCAGAGATGGTAGAAGTCCATGCCAGCTCCAAGGAGGAACGCAATAGCTGGATACAAATAATTCAGGACACAATTAACACCATGTAAGTTAACACGCCATTCGTTTGGTTTAGCTGTTTCTCACGTGCTTTGTCGTGGTAGTAATTGAGGTGTATCTCTCATGCAGGGACAAAGATGAAGATGAAGGAATCCCTAGTGAATCAGAACTGGAAAAGAGAGTGTTGGACACCAAAGCCAGAGAATTAAAAGGTAAGGCTGCTGGGGCTCAGAGAATCGTCGGGTGAAGTTTTGCTAACCTAATGTTGAGTTTTGTGAAACTTTTCCATTCCTGATCTTAACCATGATTTTTCAGGGAAGATAGAAGCCTGCATTTTGCAAACAATTAAAATCCTTGTTTGAAAGTCAGTCTGTCGTGGATTGTAAGTCTGCCAGGGGCCAGTACCATGGAAAGCTCTGAATCTCCAAAGTTTCAAATTGTGGTCCAAATCTAGAACCCCCAGTTTTCAGTTGAGCTTGAAAGTTGACAGAATGAGTTCTCCCCTCCTCATTGGGACTAAAACAGAACTGCAGCTGAAGTGAAACAACAATGTGTCCTTCAGTACAGGGAGATGACTTCCCATGGGGTGATGGCCTCCACTGGTGCCTTCAGAAAAGGTTTTTATAACTCTGAAGCAGTACATGTGAGGCACGGGCAGATAGTTGATATGTCAGGTACTCTACTTCTCTTTTGCCTCTATTAGTCAATAGTTCTAGTTCTTTTCAGGTGCCAGCGGCTTTCAGCTGTGAAGAAAATGAATTTTGTGGCCTAGGCCAGCGTGGCCAGATATTTGGGTGAGGATTAGGGTTTGGGTCCCCGTCTCTCAGCCCCTAGCTGTACAGAGAGAGCTGCTGTTGTAATCCCCACCAGCCAGGGCTTGGAGCTATATTCACTGGTTCTTCAGAGAGCCCTCCTCACTAGGGGGATTGACCCAACATTCAGGGTGTTTTGGTTGTGGAAGGAGGAGTAAAGAGTGAAGAAAGATACCTATTCAGTACTGTCTCCTCTGCTGCATCATGGGTCGAGCAGATAATATGTGGCTTTGTAACTGCGCTAGGGATACTTGCTTTACTGCACTGTAAAAGCTAAGATGCCATTCAAGTGGGAGCATTGTCACAGGATAGCTGTTTCCTGCTAACAGATAACTACTGTCCCCAGGATGAGATGTGTCGTTTTGAAGCAGGCGCCTTCTGGGACAGAGCTCTGCTGTGCTGACTTTATTTCTGAGACACCAAATGGCCAATGTAGCTGCAGAAATTCTGTTTGCTGGCTGTAGTTGCAGCACAGGTGCAGGGGTGTGTATTTAAATGCAAAGTAAAAAAGCCAACAAGCAGGGCACAAGGGCGCCCGATCCTGGATTAATGCAAGTACTGCAGCATGGCTGGCAAGTTACTCCTGCCTACGAGTAGACGTGAGGCCAAAGAAATGAGTGCGACGCATAGTGCCTTGGTACCACAAAGAGGAGGACTGTGCCTAGTGCCTACCTATGTTTTCACCCTCAAGTAGCCTCCCCTCAGGTCTGAGATGTAACAAAGGTCAAAAGCCAAGTGAATACAATCACCTGGGAAGTGCAATGATCCTCTAGGACTGTTACCCTGCAGCGTTTGCACCATTGTGTGTATGAATTTCTATTGAAAACTGAGCATTGAGCAGCCTGCGTACTAGAAAATGCGATATTGCTGAGAACCCCAGCTCTCTGGGGGTTCGGAAATGTTTCATTGTGGGCATTAGCCCAAAACCATTTAGAATTTGTTATTTTTTTTTACTGGTGATCAACTCTGGTATTTGCTGTTTAGAGTAAATATGGTCACACTGTGTCTAAACCTAGATGGTCTGAAATGAGGTTATGACCCCCAACGTGTCTCAAATGCATCTGTGAGAGTGACACCTCATCGATCTGCGTTACTGTCATGCCTCCCAACTTCATTTGGAGAAACAAAGTTTGACTCCATGGGGACTGCTCCTTGTGAGAGCATATAGCTAGGCTTGGAAGGAGTCATTTTTTATTGGTAAACATTGGTAAATGTCAATTTCACTCTACACGCACCCAAAAAATTGTCCATCAATAAAAATCTAAATCTGCAGCTAGGTGAAGTAAGAAAAGTGCTGCTTGAGAACTTAGAGTTTGATTTGAAGATATTTACTTTGTATATTTTCCACATGTGATGTTGACAATTTGTGTTTTAATGGTTATAAAGCGTCAACTTTTTGAATCTCATCATCTACTGTCATTAAATAATTCTCTGACACTCCCTATTGTCTGACACTGCTCCCCCCCCGGCCCCCCGGTAACTTCCTGCAACAGTGAAAATTTAAATCAATAAAAATGGGAAAAGCCCTAATTTCCTGCAACTGTATACATTTAAATAGATGAAAATTGAAAAAAAATGCTTAAAAATAAATGTTGATATTATCCATCAAAATTATTAAAAAAAATAAAAATAAAAGTCTGCCAAGCCTGCTTATACACTCCAGTATCTTGGGACCAACATGGCAGCGACAACACTGAAAGGCCTAAATGTAGCTATTCAGATTGTAAGCAGCACACAATTCCTGCTATTCTTTGATTTACCACATGATGGGGCCCATGTCACAGGGATTATTCGGTTTCCTTAGGGTCGCAATGTTTTCTGTTTTAAATTTGTTTTCCCCTGTTCACCCACAGAACAGCTTCAGCAGAAAGATCAGCAGATCCTAGCGCTGCTGGAGGAAAAGGAGAAGATTTTCCGGGATATCACTGACTGTAGCATGCAAGAGGATGGCTCAGTCTCCAGAGTGCTGTTCAGGTCCAATACAGAGGAGGCGCAAAAAGGGGAGACCATTATGAAAAGTGCAATAAACGAGGGTAAACAAACCAAATGGTCCCATTAATTACAGTGTCCAAAACAACACTGTGGGGTTGAATCCGTGAGTGCTCAAATGCCACCTTCAGGAGAATGACCCTTCTCTGATAATGAATAAACAGTAATAATAATATTGAACATAAGTAAAGACAAAGTCCCATCCTCCGATAGTAAAGCATGGGAGACAGACAAGGCTCACAAATTCAGGAAAGGAAGGGGATGATAATGATCGGTGAGAAGAAAGCAGTAGAGGTACCAGGGAGTCTTCATGCTGCTAACCTAGCATGGGGAGCCAGCCCTACACAGAGTTTGAGCTGTGTCAGGGCAGTGCAAAAATGAACTTTCATCCCGTTGCCCACCACACACTGGTCTGTGTTCTGTGCAACTCAGTTACACCCCCGGATCTGGTCCTTTGTTTGAAACATGGGCCAAGCTATCTTTGGTTACACTCCCCTCCTGCCACATAATGGAATATGACGGCTAGGCTAAACGGATTTCCATCCACAGCAAGAGTTTATGGGTCTGGTATCCACAAGAGGCACTTGAGTCTTTTGGGAAATCCACAAGTAGATGGTAGCCCACTTTCCCTTGGTAAATTACACAGCAGGCTGAAGTTAGAAATCCTGCCTTTGCGCAAGAATGTACCAAGAACATTTGCCAAGGGGGAAGAGGGTGATGGGAAGCATGTGCAAGACTCAGTGTGTTTGAGTTATGGCCTGACGCACCTCTCTTATTGCATCATGGCCTCCTATAAATCCATTAACTCTTTATACCAACAAGTGTGTACGTTTTACTGACCTGACACCTTTAAGCCAGAAGAAAAAATACGCTAGTCAGTAAATACCGAGGATGTTTTTAATGGACCTTTTTTTCCTATGGCTTTTTATCCTTTCAGTTGAATATTTGCAAAGCTTGATCAGTAGGAGTCTAGGGAGTGCACTTGGGGCTGCTGACCTGCTGCCAAACTCTGAGCAAGAAGGGGGAGTCGGTCCCATCTCCCTTCCTAGAAGAGCAGAAACTTTTGGAGGATTTGACAGTCATCAGATGAATGCATCCAAGTGTAAGTATTTCTGTGCATTGTGCATGCGTGTAGGTATGTATTAATAATACCTTATACCTGGTTGGCAGCTACCTGACAAGGAACTCAAAGCACTTATATATCTAAATGAATTTAGCTTCCCAACCCTCCCTGTCAGATTGGTAAATACCACTGTACCCATTTGACAGATGGGGAAGATGCAGCATATAATCGTGGGATGACTTGGCCCAGGTTACTGAAAGTCTGTGACTGAGCGGAGAATAGATGCCAGCTCTCCTGACTTCTAGTCCTGTGCTTTCCCCTCAAACCATCTTTCCTTCTTTACACACAATGTACTTGTACACTTTTGCCTTACTTATGTATTTGTTTCTTTCACTTCCGCTTCAGTGCTTCTATATCTGCAGCCCTATTCCTTTATCTCCAGTGGGCTACCACCTCCCAGCCTGAGAGCCAACTGAGGTCCTAGCTGCAGTCTGACACCACCTTTCCTTCTCCCTCCCTGCACTCTCTACACACAT